AGAACGAGATGTAATTGACAATAAATAAGCAAACTAGATCTCCTGTCATGCACAATCACTCAAAGTTCGGAGATGTTTTTGTCATAGAAGAATGGATTTTTATGGAGGCCTATAAAAGTTAATTTTAGAGAGAGAAAACATAAAAAGGAAGCGTAGAGAAGTTGCCAGAGGTACAGATTTGGCGCTTTTTTTTTTTTTGCATAAATTCTAGCACCATTGTTCTTTTGTATTAGGCTGGATTTCATTGGCATTTCTTTGTGGCAACGATGATGGTTGACGGTGACGAAGAAGAGTCGATTAATGGTGGTATTGAGGTAAGAAAAATCTATTCAAGTTTTATTTGTAGATAATTTCTATAGATGCCACTAACTTTTAAATTTTTCCCTTTTATTGTCTTTGTTTTTGGATGTAACTCATTTTCGGTGCAATCTATTTTTACTTGTGTGTGTGGTCTATGTTATTTGTGATGTGGTTTAGTGATTTCCTATTTTAGCAGTTTTTCTTAGTTCCATATTTTTTTTTCAAATGTATTATACATATTATTTCGGTTATCCTCATTGGCCAACATCCTCTATAGGCCGTAGCGTCTTTTTTTCTAATCTAATATACTCTATATTTCCCAAAAAGTTGGTCAGCTCATTGAATCTTTATTCTTATTTATAATTGGGAAAAATATGTACGAATCGATTTTCCACCCCTTTTATTATTGTCTCCTCCGTATTTTCTCCAAAGTTGTGCAAATATGGAGGAGACTGTCATAAAAACGGCAGGTTTAGGGAAAATGTAGAGGAGACCGTAAAAAACAAGGGGTAAAAACCGGCGGTTATACATTTAAAAGAGTTTTGATCGTGTAAAATAGTTCTCAACATTGTTATGAAACATGGCTTCAGCCTCGGACTCCACCCCGACTCAAGTTGAGTTACTCCGCTAAGTTCGAATGAACATGGCTGAGTGCTGCATAATGTCAAATCGGCCCAAAAATCTAACAAATTTACAAAAATTATTAAAAAATAGAACAACAAAGACTAAAATAAGTAATAAAGATCGATGAAAGGATATAAGATATTGAAAATTCTGCAAAACATAATTTATTGAAGAAATTGATCTATATCTTAAAATATTCCAACAAATGAAAAATTAAAAATTAAAACACATAAAAAAATTCGTAAATCATCATAAAAATCCCTAAAATTCATACATAAACATATTTATGAATTATATATTAGTGGTTCTTAAATAAAATTTGTGACTTTTCAATAGATTTTAAGAGGGGTGAATTGGGCAAATACACTCACTTTGGCGGGGTCACGACGCCGAGTCGACTCAACTGAGCCCCTAAACACGGTGTCTAGAACACCTAAAGCAGGTTGGCTTTTCTGTGACGATGGTTCAGGCTTCACCCTTTATTAGTGGCTCTAGCGGTGCTTTCTACATTTTTTTTCTTCAAGGATGAAGTTTCTATAGAGCCAAGGGCGTTATGAAACAAAATAAAGCCTCACTTCAAATCCTGATCTGGAAAGCATTTTGGATGTTGAAAATCTTCATGATAGATCTAAAATTAATTTTCAACACCGACAAGGAAATTTGAAACACAAAAAATGGTATAGATCTTGTGCACTGAACATTTATTTTTAAGGCAAAGTGGATGGTCTAGATGTTTTGTCGCAATATACATTAGTTTTAACATTAGTGTTCAAGCTGCTTGATTTCAAGGTTTTTCAATACTTAGAACTGCAATTTTTGATGAGCTATGAGACGAGGCTTTACTTATTTTGATAGGGCTGAAGCCTAATCAAATTATTTTCTTTTCTTTTTTGGGGGTAAATTATTTTCCTTTCTTAAAAATTTTATTGTATAATTTTGTGTATTTCATTTTGCTTTCTTTTTAATTATGACCATGCTTTTTCAACATCATAAATATTCTTTTCTCATACAATATATCATTTTATATATTTCTATTTCACTTTTTTTAATATGTACTTTTTGAGCGTCAATATATTTTGTGAGGTTTTTCCAATATGTATTTTCATTTATCATTTAGATTTTCGTTGCCAAATTTTTTGTTTTCAACTAGATTGTACAACCTTTCTCCAGGTGGTACTGCGTCCACATGCTGTGACGCTTACACAAACCACCTTTAGTGGTTGAGATTGAACCAACCTCATCCAAGGGTCAAAATATTTTTTTTGGTTTAATGGTTTTTTTTTAAAATATAAATATGAGATTTGGGCTTTAGCTTCTTTTTTATAAGTAGAATTGAACAAAAATAACAAAAAATATTTTAAATAAAAAATAATGCTCAAAATAAATTTAAGATTATTTTGATTATTTTTTATCTAAAATATTTTCATTATTTATATTTATAAAAATAAAATTTGAGATCAATTTTTTTGCTGGCCTCGTGAAATCTCAACCGGTACGCATGTGCACCCTTCCACAGTTTTCCTTGTCGGTTAGACGGTGTGGCAAGCCCGATGCACATTTCAAGAGTTGAGCGCCTGTACTATGCTCCCGAGGGAGCAGGCTGTATGACTTTTCCTCAAGAGGAAGAACTACTTTGGAGGAGTTTTTCATAAGGAATTTTGGGAACCATTTGAGAACCACCATATTGTTATTTTCCAAAATAAAAGGTTTGGATTTTGAGTTTTCTAACTACTAAATCTCACTATCCAAAATTGGAACCTCACCTATTGATCTCTGGACATCAGTTATTGGGAAAATTTTTTTTTTTTTAAATAAAGTTAATGTGTAGGCTGAAGAGGATACGTCCCCAATATTTGAGTCCTCAAAATACTCATAAATTGAGTTTTACTTGAGAAATTAAATGGGTAGTATGGTTGTGCTGAAGGTCGAAATCTTTTGGCTTAAGAGTTCATGTGGATTATCATAATATGTGTTGTGCCCGAAAGCTCTAGAACCTGACAGATTGATTTTCGGCAGATAAAGGGCGAAAAAAATAGAACTAATAACAATCAAATAACAAGCACAAAAAATAAAACATGGAAAAATAACATATG